AGTATGTCACGTTCGCCTCCCTCAGGTTCACGGTCACAGAGTCGCTTAAAATATTGGCAAGACAATGAACCAATCACAATTCACTTGAGCACTCCGCTGAACTGCACCGGGGATCACATAATTTTAGCATATAACAGGGTGCTGTCTATCGCGTTTATTTTTAGACTGCCTACTGTGGACAATTTTTCGATGGTGCACATTTGAGATGTACCGTCTTATTAATATTAATGTGCGGCAAAACTCTCTACGAGTGTCGTCATCGTTTGGGTTATCCCAAAGAGCTATTTATAGGTCAGGTTACAACTGTTGAATATCCCGCTATGCTTAGTTAAAGCGTGCGGACTTTGGCATGGCATAGTAGACGTTTTACGGTGCTTTTGACTCAGAAATGGCAATGAAGGTGCCAGCAACGACCTTTTTTTGTGATAATATTTGGCTAGTGTTTGTTTCTGACTTTTTAAATTTTATTTTTGTGGATGCTTTTCGTAATAGAACATTAAACATTTTTGGGCGGCACTGCACGACCGTGTTCTATGGACGAACCGCGCTTGTGGAAACACACGTGTCACTTCTCCCATTAACTATGACAGTTACAGAGTTGAAAGTTGGCAAGTACCTGCAAAAATATAGATAGATCCCCATGCCAGAGCCCGATTTTTTATTTATTAATTTCCTGAATTTAGACAAATATATAATTTAACAAAAAGTTCCCGTCCTTCTGTGGCCTTTGTGATTATTCCACTGAGAAGCAAAAACAAATCTGCGTAGCTGTCCTTCACAACGGAAATGCCGGAAGTGACATTTCGCGAGGCACATTTTGTTTTAAGAATATCTAGACCTTCTAATTTTATTTTTTAAATTGCGTCTCTCAAGATTTATTGCGCCTTTCCAGTAGAGTGTAAATATAGTAGGCCAATGACTTTCAGTTGATGGTAATGCACCGATCATTCCTTTCTTCGAAAAGGGGGCCCAACTAGTATTATAATAAGGTTCTCCTTATTTAAAGTATAGTTACATAAGTTACAATAATCTTAATTAACAAGGTGTTTTGTTGCAAGTAGCCTCAAATAACTACCGTTAATGTTCAATACACATCGTTTTTGGCCTGTATGCTGGATCAGAAGCCGCCAACTCTTGATGTTTCCTTCCTAAGTTCCGAATATAGATGGTGTTTGGGAATAACATTGAAGTCATTACGTTCGAGTGAGGGAGTGCATGTGCGCTTGTTTATTTGTATGTATGTAAAATTTTGTATAATATCAATGTGTATGTGTGTGTTAAGGTGCGCGTTATGTAAGAGAGAGAGAGAGAGAGACAGAGAGAGAGAGAGACAGAGAGAGAGAGACAGAGAGAGAACAGAGAGAGACAGAGAGACAGAGAGAGAGAAAGAGAGAGGTGTGTGTGTGTGTGTGTGTGTGTGAGTGAGAGAGAGAAACAGAAAGAGAGAGTGTTTGTA